ATCGTCAACATCGTCCTCCAGTCACCACCGTCCTCGTCCTCCTCGTCATCATCATGAGCATCGTCGTCATCATCCCATGTGCATGGTCGCCGATGCCGCCGTAGCAAGGGGAGTAAGATGATGCTGCCGAAGCTCCGAGATGATATCTCCGAGCTCCTTCTGGCAGCGCAGGCGCCTGGCGTGCGGGCATCTAGGCTGAGAGTCTAGGGTTTAGGGCTACTTCTCCTTAGGAATTCAAGGATGACACTCGCAAGTTCGGATTTTCGGATTTGGGTGCTCAGAGATGCAGGCCTCTGTGGGTTTGGAACTCAAGAACCCTAAAAACCCTAAACTTTAAACCCTACTCCCTGGCCGAAACCCTCAACTCCAAACCCTAAACTTTAAACCCTAAACCCTAAAGCTAAAGCCGAAACCGAATAATGCAACATTCCAGGGCCAAGGCTTCACGGAGGGAACGCGAGGAGGCTCTCACCTCCTCTGTACCTACTGTATCCATTAGGGGTTTAGGGTTTAGGGTTTAGGGCTTTGGCATTATAGTTCCTGTCTTGGGTTACCTTACAGGATCCCAAATACATAATTATCGAGACAAACGAACTACAATGGGGAGACTATAGGCATTCACCGTTTTGACTTGAACAGGGCTGCTTTGAGACTACCGCAAGGTGCATCGCGTTCAATTACTCTGAACATTTTATGGGTTAATTATAAGTCATGATTGCATTCGGATGTCATAGGTGCAGGTGTTTGGTCACGGGGGTCTTTTCAAGCACCAGTCTGTACAGTGTGGGCACAATATCGCAAAGCAGCCCGCGTTAGGAAACGCTACGAAATCCGTAGTTACAAGAAGAATCACACGCACAATTACAAACCCGCGATTTCCTGAATTCAAACTGACTCGAGAAAAATGCATCAATGACAATAAACCTCCCCCACGTGTCCACCAAGGCTAAGGACGGTCAATGCTATGTCCACCTCGAGCAAAAAAAGGAATGACAACAACAAAACCACACAAATGCCGCCCTGCGCTTTTCCGGCTGGCATTTGGCATGTCACCTTCTCAGTCGCCCGGGGCCTGCCGTCAACAAATCGACCCTAAACCCTAAACCCAAGAAGCAGCTACAATTTTAAGTGCTTGCCTGGACCCTAAGAAAGCTACCTGCTTAGGATTCCTTATTATGATATGGGGGTTTCCGAAAATAGGGGACCCTAATATAATACCCTAAATAATAGGATCCTTATTATGAGGACCCCCAAATAAGGTACCCCCTATTTTCGGAAAGTCCCATATCTTTACATAAGTCTTTAAAGGTGGGTTCCCTAAAGCCTAAACAGGTGGGGCCTAGGACAAGTAGGGCTCGACCTTTCTCGCCTCATCTTCTGATCTCCAAGGCTAAACCCAGCAAGTCAATGTAAGGGGTCTAGGGTTTAGGATTTAGGGTTTAGGTTTAGGGGTAGCGTTCAGGGGCTTACAGCGTTTACAGTTTAGGGTGTATTCAGACATTTTATAAACATCATAGGGAGCCAGTTCAAAGGAAACTAAACCTTTGGGCATAGTCTTGGGGAAAATTGCAGTACGCAGTTGTCTAGGTGCTACCTGTTTCCACTTGTTCAAACTCATGTAGAAGGGGCCCTCAACCTTAGACCCGCAACATTGTATGGGAAATAGAAAGCTACAACCTGGAACGTTACTGCAAGGGCCTTGAACATTACCTATACTATTATTTTGGAGGGGCTCCTTACTATAGCTATAGTACAATATACCCTAAACCCTAAACCCTAAACCCTAAACCCTAAACGCTATACCCTAAACCCTAAACCCTAAACCCTAGGGCGTTAAGCATCGATGCTCGAAGTTTCGGTTTCAGACAGCTGGAGCCTCGGCACTGCGGGGCTTGTAGAGCCTGGAACCAAGAGTGCCAGAACAAGTTAGGGTTTAGGGTTTAGGGTTTAGGGTTTAGGGTTTAGGGCAGAACACGATGCCGCAATTACACCACACATCCCTATAAAGCTCTAAACCCCGTCAGCCCGTAAGCCCTAAACCCCTAACGCCCGAAACTCCCTAAAGCCCTCAATCGCTGAAGCAGAAGAGGAACCTGAGCCCTGCGGTGAGCTCGACTTCTGAAGTCCTACACCCGAAACCTGTACCACTTAAGGCTCTCAGAAGGTCTAGTCCGAGGTTGGGAAAGTACTCAAACATATCATGTCTGTATACTCCTTCCTGGGATTAATTTAGTACCCACAAGAATGTAAACTGTTCCCCTGGGGTTTAGGGTTTTTGCGCTTTGCGGTTTAAGTACCACGCGCTTTGCGGTTTAAGTACCACATGCAGGAAACCCACACCCACGAGCCTGTCCTGAACTCTGAACCCGAATATAGGAGGGTTTTGGGCAAATCCTACCTTCATCATCCCTGATAAGTCAAGCTAACGAATAGTTCGCAATTCAGCCTAAACCCTAAACCCTAAACCCCCAACCCTAAACCCTAAACCCTACACCCTGAACCTTGAACCCCAGACCCTAACCCTTGAACCCTCCAAAAAAAGCACACCCCTCTAAAGGTTCCTCCCCGGCGCCGAGGCGGATCACGGAGCTCGTGACGTTGTCCTGAAGGGGCTGGTGAGAGATCCAGGGTTCAGGGTGTAGGGTATAGGGTGTAGGGTTTAGGGTTTAGGGTGTAGGGTGTAGTGTAGGGTGTAGGGTGTAGGGTTTAGGGTTTAGGGTCTAGGGTCGATGGGGTTTTGGGTGTAGGGTTTAGGGTTTAGGGTGCAGGGTTTAGGGTTTAGGGTTCAGGGTTTCAGGGTTTTGGGTTTTGGGTTTCAGGGTTTTGGGTTTAGGGTTTAGAGTAGGGGGCAGGGTCCACAGTAAGGCAAAGCCAGGGTAGCATAGGATCCTTGGTAATGATTTGTTAGTATTAGGCAAAGCTTTGTGCCTGGGAAAGGGCCATATTTTTTACTGTGTTTGTATTGGGACCACCGGGATTATATTGCTAATTATTCGAACCCCGATGTTCTAGATGACTCCCCGGGATGAAGCCCTTATCCAAAAACCGTACGGGAAGGGTAGGAGATAGTAGAGCTGCTCCAGATAAGCTTGGTAACCGACTCTGGGTTCTTGTGAAAGAACTGACCCTAAGGGTCCAAGGCCCAATAATTAGGCACTTAGGTTTCGGATGGTAGCTGTGTATAGATTACTACTTGCGACAGTATATGGGTAGTTTTCTAAATTAGGGTCCCTTTTAGGGTCCTTTTTACAAGGGTGCCGTACTATATTGGGGACCTAAAACGGGACCCCAATTTAGAGAACTACACATATGATTATTGGGTACTTGGACCCTGGGGTTAATGCTTAGAATAGGACTCCGTGAAAGGGCTCTCGAAAGGTTTAGTATGAGGGGGTAGAATATATAAGGGCTTTAGAAATTAGGATAGGGTTCCGCTAAAAGCTTCCTCTTCAAGGTTCTATAGTTCTATCATAAAGATTTCGTAAAGTTGCCTTAAAAATTAGAACAGAGTTCCCGTAAAGAGGGTCCTGTCAGGGTTTAGTAATATAGGGAACTGAGTATCGAGGCTTGCATAATGGATTTGGGCTCCGGTAAAGGGTTCCGCCCAACGGTTCTACAAGGGCTTAGCATAAGGAATTGTAATAATTATTGTGGGTTAATACATGCTTCTGCGCTTTGCCCTGAAATTGCAACGAACCTCATCTAAAAAAGTATGTACTTGGGTTTAGGACAGTAGTCTTGCAAGTACTTGAACCCTGAGGATTAAAGTATCCTTAAAGGCTCTACAAAGGCTTTATGCGTTTATGGTTTTATGGGCTGTGTGGGGCTTTACTGATGAGAACTGGCTTTGGGGACGATACTGAAGGATTCTTCTTGATTGTGCAAACCTCTCCGCGAATCTCCTGCACCTGTCATGCTACGGACAGTACTTGTGCTTCGCTGTAAAGTACTTTATCTTAAACCCTAGAAACTAGACACGTGAACAGATAGACAGGTACCCCTGTCGGAACACGGGTACTGCTTTTCCTTTTGCTTCTGTCAAGATCCAGATAGCTATGTAGCTGCTTCGCTGTAAAGTACTTTATCTTAAACCCCAGAAACTAGACACGTGAACAGATAGACAGGTACCCCTGTCGGAACACGGGTACTGCTTTTCCTTTTGCTTCTGTCAGGGTCCAGATAGCTATGTAGCATACCCTAAACCCTTAACCCTGTACACTGGGCCTTCAGCGGATGGTGGTGCATGGACCCGTGGGGCTTGCTTATCAATAAGCTACTCTTAGCCTAGCGACATAAGCCCTAAACCGTTCAGCCCGTGGCAAGTAATTAATGTGGCCAATTGATGTTTATGTAGCGAATTGCCGGCAAGCAGTAAAGTCACGATTTCAGGGACTTTGTGCCTGATGTGCATCCGGTATTGATACACGTGTACTTTAAGTTGTTATTCTAGGCCCACATCCCTGAGCCATCCAACCCCTGAAGCCCACACAAAAGATCAATGCTTCGGCCTTTCGTGCTTGTCTAATAGAAAGTGCCCGTGTATCAAACGCTTGAGTGTTGGACCCTTCAAGTAAGGAGAAAAGGTTTAAAATTACGGTCTAAAGCTTATCTGGACCTGGAGCACCGAAAACCTCTTTTAAGGAACCATATACAGAAATTGCAAAGAAGAGCCGGGAAGGTAGGTTTTGAAGGGCCAAGGCACGGCTTGGGGGCGAGAGCCTCCCAAGTTTGATGCTACTTGTAATGGACAAAACCCGGCACATCCACAATCAGGAGTCTACAATACATATATACAGCACATACATATGCACGCATGTATCTGATCTATGTATGTATGTATGTATGTATGTATGTATGTATGTATGTATGCATATACGTGTATATGTATGTACACAGGTAAACTTATATATACCGTTACGAAACCGCGCGCCCCTTACTATCTGCAAGCCCTCAACTCGTAGTCTCTACACCTCACAGCCGGACCGTGAAGTGCAATGAGCCTAGAGTGGAGGCAGCCGCGGCTGCAGCCAGGGTGATTACGCTTCCTGACTCCACTCCGTCGACAAAGCTGAGACTTGTAGGCTTTAAAATCTAAACCGTAAGCCACAAGTCGAAACACCTAACCGACTAGCTTTAACATACATGTCGTGGAACCGAGATCCCTCGGTTCAGAATTCAATGAAGTAGGGGTCCTACTGCTTTTGCACCAAAACAAACAAAACGCACATTACCTATTCCCCAACGGAGCTCATAATACACTCACACCACCATCCTGTTAGACCGGTAGAAATTAACTTACCTTCATCTCACAACGCAAATTGCAAACAACAACGCACGGCAAGTCCTTCCAACTGCTGCTCCCGCAACTGCTGGAACCTTGCTTTTGCAGCTTCGGCACCCAAACCGCTCAGTTCCGTGGAGATTCGGGGTGACCCGTAATGTTGTTGGACGACATGTACCCTAAAAGGGTTTAAGGTTCAATTACCACATTACCATATACTGTTTACAAACGTAAGTGCATGTGTCCACTAGGAATGGTGCTAATGTGGGTTGAAAGTCCAAATGAAAATCTAGAGCTAAGGCAAATCTGAAAGAACCACTTTCGAAACTGAAACTTCAGGAAAGGAGGGCCCCTGTGATTATAAAGCCTAAATTGCAACGTCCTTGTTCAGAGCCTGCGTCCTGGCTTTTTGGTTGGGGGCTTATAGGTCCTGTAGAGTCTCGGGTTTAATTCCGCGAAACACATCCAACCGGCGAGAAAGCTGCCAACATTGGACGGATCAGACTGCTGACGTTGCATTACGGTCTCGTACGAAATGTTTTCGGCCCCCTCAAAATGTGACGAGGCTTGCTCGTGATTGTTAAAACCGCAAAGCTTCCTTCTGTAAGGCATTCATCAAGAGGTCAGTCAGGAACTTGACAATGACGAAATTCAATGCACGACGCTCACAATTCGCCAAGCTGGCGAGCCCGACGTAAATCTTGAACGGTGAAAGCCCTTGCCCATGCCGATGCTGACCCAGTCACAGCAGCAGCGAGTCCTGGCAATGGCCAGTTCCCCGGGTAGCATTAATAGTGCTGACACACGGCTGGAATACCTTTTCATTTGAGGGATCAGGATTTGGAGATCAGGGAGAACCCAGCTCTTGAAGTGCCGGTGCGCAACGCGACATTGAATGATACGTAGATAGGGAAAAACAACATGGAGACAAGAACACGTCCACATGCCAGTCAGCCTTGCCTCGTGACGGGATGCATCGGGTGCGCTGCTCTTGCATGAATACTGTCGCCGGCCCAAACTTCGCAGTGTCATGCGCGTCGGAAGGCGGAAAAGAAGTGTTCCCGGGCCGGCTTGATAAAAACACACGCATCCATCACCACAGTTACGCATGCTTTCAGCATGTTTGACGACAGGCGGCGGAAATCTTCAACCCGAGCCTCAACCACCATGCTTCAATGTACCAGCTCCGGGTTAAAATGGCATACCCACATGACCCATTGCCTGGAGCAGCCTTGAACTAAGGCTGCAGGAGCTTGGAGGAAAACCACCGAGCACAGTAATTACGCAATCTAGTTGTAACTTTGACTACACGCGGGCAGAGCAAGTGTCCAGGGAGAGCGCCCGGCACGCTGATTGAACACAGTCTGGTTGCAAGCTCAATGTTCCGGGTGCATCGAAATTCTGCTCCGATACCGCGCTGGTAAGCTTCCTCCCTTGCATGATCGAAAGGTAAATGCTTCCTGTTCGCTCCTGAAGATTTCGCGGCTTCCGGACAAAACCTAGTTCCCGGAGGCCTCTGCCAAGTCATGGTTAGACTTCAGTTCCAGGTCCTTCAGCGACGCTCCTCCTAAATGTGGTTGTTGATAGGTGGAATGTTGCGAAACCCTAAGGGTCCATGTACCCAAATAGTATAATTATACTTTGGCCTTAAAGTCGTCCCTATATAGGTACTTTGGGGCCAATGTACATACTATATGAGTACATGGACCCCGAAAGAGCCCATAAGAACCATGCAGCTATGCTGAATAAACATAACGAAGCCTTGAAGGCGACTCTGGGGCCTCTGTTTTTTCTGCCATATGTGTGTACCTCTATACAGATAGATATAGATAGATAGATAGATAGATAGATAGATAGAAAGATAGATAGATAGGTAGATACATAGATCGATAGGTAGATATAGAACAGCTTATATAGGCAGACAAGTGGATAGAGAGAGAGAGAGAAACAAAGCAATTATGATAAATAGTTACATACATAGATAGACATATACTTCGCGCTTCCCTGCATGCACCTTCCACCACTGCGGTGTAGTGAGTATTTTACAGCAAGCCGCTGCAAGGATGTACTCATTGGATCCTCCCGAGGTTTTGTTTCCCTAAACCCTAAACCCTAAACCCTAAACCCTAAACCCTAAACCCTAAACCCTGACCCTAAACCCTACTTGGAGGCCCAGGGGCCTACCCAAATTATGACCCTACTTATAACCGACTTACTGAGTCCCCTGGGCCTCTAAGTAATCCCTAAACCCCTTCCATCCTTGCCAGAAGTGTAGGCCAGTCTAGGCATGAGGTCTGTTGAGCCAGAGGGAGCCATGTATACAACCTACCTTTGAAGGGGGTCCTCATAATGATGAATTCCAAAAATACGTCGTTGAGCAGGCAGGTTGGTTGGGGTCTAGGTGTGAATTAAAGGTGCAGGTTGCGGGGTTTGGGATTAAGTTACCATACCTGGCATCAGAAGTGGGATCCAGTCATACTGCCACTGCCAGAGAATACCTAGTGTAAACAATATACCCTGAAAAAAGCAAGCAACCCTGAACATGAGGATATCGTTCTAGAGGATCACTAAAGTAAGAAGCTCTGAGTCATTCAAGCCGCAAGCGCTAAAGGGCGGGTGCACTACGTGCATAAAGAGGGTTCTACTAAAATGGTCGACGACTACATTCAAGATACGAGCGTTACGCCCAAAACGCCGTCAACACAAGGTACACTAGTCTCGGGGTCATCTTCTTGTCTAGGCACATCTGTTAGTTTGTATAACGTTGACAAGGAACCTCTGAAACACAGGCACCGTAGCACGCAATATACGGAGACTCCGAGCATAGCCCAAACTGACCTTGCACCTGAAATCCTACACGGTTAAAGCCCTGTGAACCAGCCTGCTTGTGGGAACCTTAAACCTTATCTTGAAAACTCAGACTGGCATTTTACCCAAAGGGTCCACATATACTACCATTATGGAATTAAGCTCCAACAGACCAACCTCATCATGATTTTGGGGACCTAATTCCATACATGTAGTGCATATATATATATATATAGAGAGAGAGAGAGAGTGACCCTCTGAGGGTTAGTATAATCGAATATACAGCACACTCATGCAAACGCGCTTGAGTGTTCCATGCACCATGCAAGCTGCAACCTCCAGCACCAAGAACCTCAAAACAACCCAAAAGACGCTGGTTTAGGGGTTTAGGGGTGTAGGGTTTAGGGTTTAGGGTTTAGGGTTTAGGGTTTAGGGTTTAGGGGTTTAGGGGTTTAGGGTTTAGGGTTGAGGGTTGAGGGTTGAGGCCTGTATTCTCGACTATCTATACAGAAACCTGTGCTTAAGGCCCCTTGACCCGTTGATGGCTTCCGGATCTTCCAAAAAGAAAGGCACCTATCTCAAGGCATGTTGGGGAGCCTACCCCAACTTAAGGACTATTGGTTTAGGGCCTTTAGGGTTTAGGGTTTAGGGCCTTTAGGGTTTAGGGTTTATTTAGGGTTTAGGGCCTGTAAGGTTTAGGGTTTAGGGTGTAGGGTTTAAGGTGGTTTAGGGTGTAGGGCTTAGGGCTTAGGGCTTAGAGTTTAGGGTTGTATTCCTTATAACCAAGGCAGATCGGAAGATCTGGTGCGGAGCTGGGCATGAAAACTGTCCTGCCAGCGCCCCGCTTGCTGGCAGGCTGCGATGGCCGCGTTGTGAGCCACGACCTTTGCCAGGTAGCCACATACCCTCAGAGGGGTTTAGGGTTTAGGGCTTAGGGTTATAGGGTTTAGGGTTTAGGGTTTAGGGTTTAGGGTTTAGGGCTTAGGGTTATAGGGTTTAGGGTCTAAGGACAGATATCTTGGGGCCCAAAGACCCTACTATATAAGGCTTTAGGCCATTTTGAGCCTTAGGGATAGGTTCCGTTAAGAGTTCCTTTCAGGGTACCTATAAGGGTTCTATAAGGTTCCTGAGTGCTCCCTTGATAATAAGGGTACCCTTTTTCCCGTTGTTCGGTTTGAACAAGGGCGCCATGCAATAAAATAGGGTACTACTCAGGACCCTAGATCCCTGAACCCTAAGCCACGGGTAGTCCAGATGAACGCCTTACCCTTTTACCCCAACCTCGACAAGCTACTTGCAAAAGAAACACAACCAAAAAAGCATCCAGACTGAACGTGGGTCCTGGGTGACTCCTTGCTGCAGGGTCCAAGTACGACGCCCTCATTGCAAAATTCAGCCCTACGAAGAAAAGGTTCTGGTAGGTTGGATGCACGAATGGCCTTTATAATCATGAATAGGGTTTTGACCCCCCTAAAGCAATACCCTTAAAGGAAACTCCTTAAAAAGGGTACATGCACCCTTCTATATACCTGTAGTCTCCATTGTAGTTCCTTGTTGGGGGCTTCCTTTCAGGATCCTGAATATAAAACTGGTTCAACCAAAAACGAAGTACAATGGAGACTGTATCCCTTACCCTCTAAGGATTCATATTGTAAGGCTTTTGGGAGCGAAGACCCTATTATATGAGGCCTTTGGGCTGCTTTGATGCTAAGGGTATGGGTAGACCCTAAAGCCTAAACCCTTCTACGCAGGGTAACTTCAACCCTAAGGCTCCAAAGCCTATATAGTAGGATCTTTGCGCCCAGAAGCCTCAAAATATGAGCCCTCAGAGCCTTATAGGGCAAGCCAGGGGTCTCCTAAACCAGAAAAGCCTAAAATCGTAAACTCTAAACCCTAAAATCCTGAACCCTAAATCCCTAAACCCGAAAACCCTAAACCGTCAAATCCAAAACCCTAAACCCTAAAACCTAAACCGAAACTGTAAAATCCAAAACCCTAAACCCTAAAACCTAAACCAAAAACCGTAAAATCCAAAAGCCTAAACCCTAAAACCCTAAACCCGAAATACCCTCAGCCAAAGCAACATTCGGGCGCAGCATCCCGGAGCGCAGGCACCGGAAAAGTTCTAGCGCCCACGGCCATTCGGAGGCCTTCCTGGGCATTTCACAGGGGCTTACATACACAGAGACTCCAATATGCTTTAATTAAGGAGTGTACCGTAAATCATATTAGGGATCCTGTTAGAATTTAAGGTACATTCCTTAACTAAGGGATGTTGGAGTCTCTGGGTATTAGGGTTTAGGGCTTGGGGGTTTGGGTTTTATAAGGCTTAGGGGTTTATAAAGTTTAGGGGTTTAGGGTTTAGGGGTTGAGGGGAGAGGGTTTAGGGTTTAGGCGGTTTGGGTTTTATAAAGTTTAGGGGTTTAGGGTTTGGGGGTTAAGGGTTTGGGGGATTCGCGGTTTAGGGGTTTATGCAGTTTAGGGTTTTAGGGTTTAGGGGTTTAGGGTTTAGATTTAGGGCGGCTTATACCCAAAGAGTCCTAAGTACCTATATGATAGAAAGTAGAGTTTCTATAGTAGAAACTACTACTTTGGCTTGGGTGAGAAGTCCCATATAGGTATCTAAGACTCTTTGGTCTGGGGGTTGGACGGAATGGAGCTCAGCCCTGAACTCAACACTCCAAACCCTTCCAACCCTTTCTAGAATCGTTTAATACATTTTATGGGCCGTTTCCGAAAATAAGGGGTTTAGGGTTTAGGGTTTAGAGTTTCCGAAAATTAGGGGTACCGTATTTTGGGACCCTTAAAATCAGGATCCTAGTATTTAGGGTGCTAGCTATCTTAGGGTCACCTATTCTCTGAAACCCCTTATGCCTTATGCTATCCACGCAAGCCGCTCTAATGAAGAACCCTGACAGGAAGCCCACAGGGTTTAGGGCTTAGGGTTGAGGTGTTCTATACCACGCAACAATCGCACTGGTTAACAAGTTTACAAGTCTCACATACCTAACTAACCTAAACCCCAAACCCCCAAAACCCCCAAACCGCTAAACCCTAAACCCTAAACCCCTAAAGCCCTAAACCCTACAACCCTAACTGATAGCCCTCTACGAAAAAAATAAAGCTTAGATTCCAAGCGCTTTCCTCAGCTCCAAACCCCCAAAGCGGCTTTAGGGTTTCACGGTTTCAGGGTTTAGGGTTTCAGGGTTTAGGGTTTAGGGGTTTAGGGTTTCGGGGTTTAGGGCTTCAAGGTTTAGGGCTTCAGGGTTTAGGGTTTCAGGGTTTAGGGTTTAGGGTTTCAGGGTTTCCTGGTGTCAGGGTTTAGGGTTTCGCGTTTCAGGGTTTAGGGTTTAGGGTTGACTACACAAAGTGCGAGCTCCCTTCAAAGCCTCAATACACCCTGAGCCCACCTCAAGAAGTGCGTTCGAAGTCTTAACACCAAACCCTCAACCCTCACAAAACACACCCAAAAAGTTAATATAGGAGCCTTGATAATTAGAATAGGGTTTTGGGGGCTCCTTCTTATGATAATAGTACAATAAGGGACCCCAAAACCCGATTCTAGTTCTTAAGGCCCCTATATCAAACAAGAAGATCACAGCCCTTCGCACCCTAAACCCTAAACCCTAAACCCCTAAAACCCTAAAACCCTAAACCCTGAACCCTAAACCCTAAACCCTAAACCCTAAAGCCGAAGCTCTCGCAGGCGCTGATGGCAGCGGCAAATGTGATGACATCCGCCTTTGGCTTCAGGGCTTCAGGATTCAGGGGTTTGGAGTTTAGGGTTTAGGGTTTAGGGTTGAGGCTTTAGGATTCAGGGGTTTGGAGATTACCTTATGGTGTAGGGTTTAAGGTTTAGAGTTTAGGCTTAGTGTTTAGGATTCAGGGGTTTGGAGTTTAGGGTTTAGGGCTTAGGCTTTAGGATTCAGGGGTTTGGAGTTTAGGGTTACCCTAAACCCTAAACCCCCTACCCAGAGAACCCACTACTCCATAATTAAGGAATATACCTTAAATCATAATATTAAGGCCCCTATAACTTAAGGTATATTCCTTATTTAAGGTACTGGGCTCTCTGGGTAAACAGGGGTTTAGGATTTGTGGATTCCAGGCTCCTGTTTTGAACGCCTAGAACCTGCCTCTTTGGTAAGGGTGCTTGCTTAAGGGTTCAAGGCCCATAGTCTACCCCACAAAGGCTTGAGCTGGTACAGAGTTTAGGGTTTAGGGTTACGAAGGCTTCGAAAGTATCCATACATATTGGGTGTTTGAGGATTTGCAAGGTATCGTGCTGCACCTATAACCCTAAACCCTGTCGAGGGGGAGCCTGTTTACCCCAAGGGTCCGAGAATGTAGGGTCTCTATATTAGGAACTACTACTATGATGTAGCGATGTGTATCCCCCATCAAACTAGCTAGGGACCTTTTTGGGGTAGAACGCTGTGTTGGATCCCAAGCCCTACACCGTTTAGGGTTTAGGGTTTAGGGTTCCTAAACCCTAACTTTTGGCATTGCAAGGGAGGTTTCAGGAATACACCAAGCCTTGGGACGACCTCCTGTGCCGCAACCGCGCGTTTAGGGTTTAGGGTTTGGGGTTTCGGGCAAGAGAGACAGCAGAAGACTAGCCTTACCCAGAGGCTCCACATGTACTGCCATTATCATACTAGACCCCGAAAGACCATCCTTAGTATGGTTTTAGGGACCTACTTCCATGATGGCAGTATACATGGAGCCTCAGGAAAATGGTCCTATGTACTGTTCTGGGGGATACTTCCCCAAATCGCAAGAGTAATTTAGGGTTTAGGGTTTAGGTCTCATGAAGAGACCCTACTTTCTTACCTTTTAGGTGCTCAGGAACCCTTAGAGCGAACCTCAAACCTACACCCTTCAAGGAACCCTTAAAGGAACCATTCTGCTATACTGGCTGGCTAGGTTAAAGATGATCAAGTCTAATCCTTACTGGGATTTACTATAACAAGAATGTCAAATTGTAATGTAGGAACCTGAACCCTAAACCCTAAACCCTAAACCCTAAACCCTAAACCCTAAACCCTAATTAAGAAACCCTGGCCCTATAACTACAATATATTAGGATTCATATTAAGAGCCCCAATGCAGAAACAGGGCTTCTTAGTCAGGTTTCTATAGTAGCCAACAAGGACCCAGTATATAGGACGGTTTAGGGTTTAGGGTTTAGGGTTTAGGGTTTAGGGTACATAAGAGCCTTTGGGGTGAAGAATAGGACTAACCCGGCTGCTGCACTTCGGGATCCCTTGTCTGAGGGGCGAAGGACCCTAGCCAAAGAAGCTCAACGGTATGGATGAGGGGTGAGGGCTTTGGGTTTAGGGATCAGGGTTTAGGGTATAGGGCGTTTTAGGGTTCAGGGCTTTGGGTTTAGGGCACAAATTCAAGCAGTACAGATCATCATATACAGCCAAAGAGGTTATCTAAAGGTTTCCTACTCAGTACTACTCAGCTGCTGATTATAGGAGGATTGTGCAAGCTGACAGTTCGCAAGAACAGCCCCACCTGCCTGCAACTTGGAGAGCACCTCGCCCAAGAGAGCGAGAGCTCTCAGCCATTCCGCCCCCTTCTCACCTCCAAGGTGAAACCCTAAACCCTAAACCCTAAACCCAAAGCCCTGAAACCTAAACCCTAAACCCTAAACCCTAAACCCTAAACCCTACAGTAAACCTCAAGAACTCCTGAAGTTGCCGGGCTGTTAGAAAGGGGAAACCTCTAGTCCTCTTCACTTCTCTGCACAGG